TGTTTAGTATGAATAAGATCAACACTCATGCGTACACATATAATTATCTTATAAAGCAAGATTTTTATTTTGCTGAGATTGCTCCCTATCAACACTCGCTCGTACACATATAATTATATCACAAATCAAAATTTTTATTATGCTTAGTGATCGGCCTGGCTACACTCGTTCGTACACATTATATTTAAATTGTTTCATATATGAAAAATTTTATTTATGCTTAGTTGTCGCCCACACACCAAACAAGCAAACACATTATTATAATGTATTACTTTTTCTGGATACTATTGCATTCGTAAACAACAAGAACAAAAAAAAAAACAAAAATTAAGAATGAGAAAGAAAAAATTTTGAATGAATTTCAAAATTACATGATCGTTATGAATTTCTACTACTATGTTTTGCTTTCGTTTTTGAAAAAACTGTTATCAATCACAGAATTAAATATTAATAAATTGGTAATATCTACTACTTATATTGAACTGAAAAAATGTTGTTTAATAATCAAGCGAAGGTTAAGAATTTTTATGTTGCATTGATGTAGTGCAAGTCATCCAAAAAATAAGAGTAAAATGAAATGGCGCATAATTTGTTTCACACATTTATCTCCAAAATTAAAACAGTTAAGCAGAACGACATTCTGAAATTTCAAAACCACAAGCCTATAAATACCCGTAAATGTATTTATTTTAATAAAATCTAAAAAATATAATGAGCAGTGTAAAAGCTTGTACCAATGTACATAAAAAGCTTAGTTTTCAAGCCACAAATTTTAGAACGAAACTTTGATTTTCTTTAAATTTTTGTATGCAAATTTTTTTGTATTTTCTTTGATTTTTTATGATTTGTGAAAAAAAAAGATAAATTTTATTCGTAAATTTAAAATTACGAATAAAATTTCGCTATGTACAATCATTTAATATGTATGTATACATATAAGTAAATAAATTTTTCAAAAAAAGTTCATTTGATATAATTTTCATAAAACCTTTTACAATAAGTTTCACTTACGTCAAAAAGTAAATTTTTTGGTTGTTAAAATCAAAAAATCAAGTTTAAATGATTGATATAAATCTGATCATAACTTCATAAAAAACATGCAGTTAAATAAATTACTTTGTTTTTATATAAAACAAAAAATTGAAAGTTTAGTTCCAGACTTTAATTCTATAATTCAGCATAATAGGGTTACAAGAAAGTGCTTTATGATGCACAATGTGCAATGCCTATTAAATTTTGTTCACAGTTATAAAATAGGTGAAACGGTTGAAGGGGAGGGCACTTTTTAAGAACCGCTTAGGGCGACGAATACATCAATACCGCGCCTGGTATAAATTGTCGGGAAACTTTTCATCCTAACTCATGCTACTCAAACATAATTTTTGCATTAAAATCTTGCCTTTGATGATGATAAGTGCATCTGAAGTAAAATTCATTTTGCTACGTTTGCAAAATAAAATTTTATAAAAAAATTTTATTAAAAAAAAAAATTTTTATTCAGAATTTTTATATTACCGAAAATAAATTAAAGTATTCTTGGTAAAAAACTTTAACTAACAGTGAGTTGACAAAAAATGTGTTTCAAATGTGATATCTCTTCATGCACCAATTATGAGATGAAGACTCAAAAAGTCACATATAGGGCTTTCTGCATGTATACATGGGGTGCTGATAGAGATTGGTATCACCAATCTCTTAAAAGATGGTTCATTTGCGACGATTGCCAGGATATCCATTCTACACTTCGATCAACCCTAGACAATGTGTCATCGCAAATAAAATATCTAGATGATGAAAAAAAGGGACTGATTGGGAAAGCGAATGGAATAATCGCAAGCAACTCGTCTAGTTTTGAAGATATGGCTAAGTCCTTTGACCAAACAAAAATTTCCATTAATGATTTGGTCGAACTTCAAAGCGTCAAATTCCAACAACTTAGGACAGATTTCCAAAAAGCCCTAGCAAGCCAGAATTTCCAACTCAAAGATTATGAACCGCTACGTTAGACAGTTGTCATCGACGTCTAAGGAAATACAGGTTACTGGCGAATATATTTGTTCGGACCATAACTCACTGTTAGTAAAGGTCGATGCGCTATATCAAAATATAAGTGAATCTCTAAACAACCTGTTATCTGAAATGTTGCAAGAGATTTCTTTATTGAAGCAAAGCTTAATGGACTTCAAAAGCTCTAACAATAAGTCTTCCGTGAGTTCAACGAGACTGGGAAACATATATGACGAGATTCTGGAATCTGAACAAATATGTCATCGTGTTGACGAAAATTCAGTTAATCGTTACGGAATACAATGGTCTCGTCAAGAATGGGAGTTTTGTCTGGCTCGGATTGAGGCTGCTAATGAAGAGCATAAGGAGTCAAGTAGTCCAAAGCGCATTCACAAGTGGGGTCGGAGACATCACGGTAGATCCTTAAATGAAACAGTTCAGCCGGCTGAAGCTAGCCAAGGTACTTATTGTAATAATTATAACAATGTAACAGTATTAGCAATACGGGTAGTATTTCCGTAGCTCGTCCTGATAAAGGTCCGAGTATATTGTATCCTAATTATACTAAAGGAGAAACTTTCAGACCTATCTCGGAATCGTTCAAACCGGTTTCAAGTTCAGCTTCACCAGTATTGTTTAACCGAAACCCGCCTAGTTTTGACAATCCTCTAGTTCCACCTATAGTTAGACTAACAGAAAAAGCTGTTGAAGAAGGAGATGGCAAATATTTGTTATCTCGTTTGAGGGATCACCGAATCTATGAAAACGTTATCAGATCATGTTTGTGTTGATGGGAAAGCGAGAACAAATATTGAGGTTTTGATATGTCAAGAGGGACTGCCATATGACCTTCAGAGTTTAAAAAATATATATATTAATTTCACGAAGAGATAGGTATGACCCCAAAAGACGCTAACCGAAGATTAAATCATCTGCAACTAAGCCGAGAAAACCATAGTAAATATTTTCGTTCCTAGCGATACTGTTAATGTAAATTCTGCTTCTAGCAACTGTTCGAACTTGAATTTCCGACCCAACTCCGTTTCAATTTATTATCAAAATGTTAGAGATCTGCGTTCAAAAACCTCTAAAGGTTTTGTGAATTCAGCTATCCGTGATTGTGATATCTTTATTTTGACGGAAAATTGGCTCTGTCATAAAATTAACTTTCTTGAATTGTTTGGGAAAAATTACACTATATAAAGAAAAGACAGATACGATTTACCAAATGATCCAGCAAATGGAGCAGTAATCGTGAAGGCGGTGGAGTTTTGATTTCAGTCAAAAATAAGTTTAATGTCGATCAAGTTAACCTAGATCAATTTTCAATTTTGGAAATTGTTACTGTAAAAATTAAGCTAACTTACAAAAATATCTTCATAATAAATTGCTACATCCTTCCAAATTCTGCTTTTAATGTCAATGAGAATCTATGTCTAGGTATTGACTATATTATTTCTCTCATGAATTCAGCTGATGAAGTATTATTATTTGAAGATTTAAATCTTCCAAATATTTTCTGTATCCCTGATGATGAGGAATGTTACTTAATTCCTAATCAAATAGTAAATGATTCCGAATCAGTTCTAATTGACAGCTGTAACGCTAACGGCCTTCAACAAATTTCTAATAAACTAAATTATCAGAATAAGCAATTGGATTTAGTTTTTACTTCTGACTGGTGTAATCTAATCTCTCATGATTGTAGTTTACCTTTAGTCAAAATTGATAACTATCACCCACCAATTTGTTGTTCTTACTTTTATGAAAATAAAACTGATATTTTGTTGGAAGCAAATTACAAATTTAACTTTTCTAAAACTAACTTTATGGCTTTAAATAATTATCTTCGTTCAATTGGTTTCAGCTCTATTTTTTCAAACTTAGATCTTGAGCAAATGGTTAGTATTTTTTATCAAATTCTTAATCACACTTTTAATGAGTTTACGCCTATTATACGTGATCGGTGTGTAAATTCTTCCCCATCGTTGTTTGACAAAGATTTGAGAAAATTGAGGAATAAAAAAATAGAGCATGGAATTTGTATTTAAAACATAAAAATGGATACAATTATAATAAATTTGCTTATCTCTTTAACATTTACAAGGTTAATCTTCAGTAAAAATATGACAATTACCTTACTAATATGGGATATCAAATAATCCAAAATCTTTTTGGAATGTCGTTAATTTAAAAAGAAAATGCGATCAATATCCAGGCGTCCTGTCTAATAATTCATTTGATATAACAAACTTCTTTCGTGAATTTTTTTCCAGCTCTTATGGTAGTAATATTTTTGAAGTTGATTGCAATAATTTTAGTCGTTTATATAACTTTCCAATATTTCCGATTTCATCAATAGATTTTTCAATTTCTCGAGTAAAAAAATATTTGGAAATGCTTGAGGCAGATTGTTCTCCTGGGCCTGATAATGTGCCTAAAGTGATACTTAAAAATTGTTCTCTCTATTTAGCAGGTCCACTATCAATTTTATTTACTCATTCACTTTCTCGTGGTCATTTCCCACAGTTTCGGAAGGAGTCGTTTATTAGACTTGTCCATAAAAAAGGACTTAAAAATGTGACTAATTATCGGTCAATTGCCAAGTTATCGTCCATTCCTAAAATATTTGAACTAATGATCTTTGATTTCATTTATGACCAATGTTCACGTCGATTAGTGCCAAATCAGCACGGTTTCGTTAAGAAACGGTCTACTACAAGTAATTTAGTGGATGCGACTTCCTTTTATTTAAATGCCATGGAGTCCGGTTTTCAAACAGATGTCATTTACACAGATTGTCAAAAGCATTTGTCAGATTGTCAAACAGTTTGCTTTTATATAAATTGAGCAAATTTGGTTTCCCTTCAAATTTGTTGGATTGGATTAAATCCTATTTATTGGATCGTAAGTACTATGTCTTAATTAGATCCTGCACCTCAAATCAGTTTGTTGCTAATTCTGCGGTTCCTCAAGGTAGTCATTTAGGTCCTTTATTGTTTATTATAGCGATAAATGATGTTATTTCTATCATTAATCATAGTGAAATTATTATTTACGCTAATGATATGAAAATCTTCAAAATCATTTGCTGTCCTGAGGATTCCGTTAAATTGCAAGATGACATCTCCTCTTTTTCGACTTGGTGCAGCCACAATAACCTTCTCCTAAATGTTGGTAAATGTGCGATAGTTAGTTATACACGTAAATCTGTTCCGATTTTGGCTAATTATGTATGAGTGAGAAGTCAATAAACAGGGTCAATTCTTTTCGGGATTTGGGTGTTATCTTCGATGACAAATTGACTTTTAGGCCTCATTATAATACCATATTAATTAACAAAGCCAATTCAATGCTTGTTTTTGTAAAGAGATGGGGTAAAGAATTCAATAATCCATACATATTAAAATCTTTGTATATGTCATTGGTTCACTCCAATCTTGAATATACATGTCAAGTTTGGTCACTCCACAACCTATTACATATAAAAAGAATTGAAGCGGTCCAGAAAAAATTCATCAGATTTGCTTTATGCGGTTTAAACTGGGAAGGTCCCTTAAATTTACCACCCTTCAATAATAGGTTTCAATTTTTAAACTTGAATTCTTTGGAATCTAGGAGAATTGTTGCGGACATTTTGTTCATTCTTTAAATTAAGAACGGCCAAATTGATTCCCCATGAATTAAATCTATCATAGGTTCTAGTTTAAATAGCAGTACCCGTTTTAGGTCAGAAAATGCATTTAATACGGCCTTTAATCGGACGAATTATGGTAAATACGAACCAATAAATAGAATGTTCATCTATATTAATGAATAAAAAAGAATTATTGATTTGCCTATAAGTAAGCAACAACCAAAAAAGGTTTTGTTTTCTAACTTGCCATAATTTTCGTTTAATTATAAATTTCTGGTGTCTAGTTTTTAAAGTTTAAGTCATAGATAATAAATAAATGATAGCTTTACTTTAGATGTTGTTTGAAAAGTTTGAGGACTTTGTACCTGTTCGTCTCCGTTTATATTTGTTGTTTCTGTTTTCTCTGCTTTGATAAAATTTTTTAAATTTTGAATTAATGATATATTTTCATCGTTCATGCAATTGGAGCCGACTGAATGAGCTGATGTCATGTTGTTGATCAAAAGTGTTTTATAATTACATGTGAACTGTTTGGAATTGGGGTTTACATTCCTATAATTTAGTGACCGTATTGATCCAAAAAAATTTTCCAACGGATCTTGGTTAAAGTTCCGCAAATATATATATTTGATTCCATTTTGTTGAAGTCTATCCCCTATTTCTTTGAAGTTCTCAATATTCTTTATAAAATTTTGTATACAAGGTGGTTTAAATATTTTATTCGCTCTTGTAAAGTACATGCTGCATAAAATGGGTTTGGCTTCATTTTCCCAGAAGTATTTCTGTACTTCTCCGAATGGTCCTCTGAGCTCCTTACACCTTGGCGGATTCGAAGAACTACCATTCATGGAATCAAATAATCGATCCAAAAACATAATTGCGGCAGCGGTATCTCCTGCACCTTCTCCCAACACATGTGCATGTTCATTTACTTTTTTACCTGTTAAAATATTTTTAAATAAAATAAAATTTAAATAATATTAAATATAAGTAAAATATAAAAATATGGATAGGTAAAAAATACTAACCTATTTCAATTGTGTACAACATTAACTTTCCAACAGTAGCACTCAAAACTTTTACACAGTGAGATACTTTCATTTTTTTTAGGCAGTGTTGAAAAACATGCTGTTCAGTTAATTTTGTCATCCGCAAAACTGAAACTCCTGAATCTATTTCATAAAAGTTTTTAATATGATCCCATTTGGCTGTTACAGTAATATCTTCGTTTTTATAAATCAAGTTCTTTTCAATAAAATGATTTCGTATTAATTTTATTAAATGTGGGGGATCAATTATTGGATTTACGATTTTCCCATTGATTTCAAATCCACAACTTCGAAATTCTTTCCCCAAATTCATCGCTCTTATTCTCGAGTTTTCTTTTAGTGTTCTTATTGCTTTTATATTTGTTGTACCTCCGTCGCAAACTGTTGAAACAACTTCTAATCCAGCTTTTTGTGCTGTGTTTATAATAGTTGTAATTGCGGTTACAATTTTATTGGATGGGCATGTTGAGTTAACCAAATAATACATAACCGGTTGAAAAATAAATTAAATTTTTATAAATATAATCATCACTATGATTTTTAAATATTGTTTTTGGAAATAAACATTTCCATTTTAAATAATTTTCAATATTTTTATTTGGATTGGGGAATCTAGGTCTTTTACTTATTTTGTCTTTACAGAAAGGCACACAACACGAAATAACACCCATTGTCTAAATATTTTTTAAATATTCTTATATTCACTTATATAAATATAAGTGAATATAATACTTAATTTATTATTTTAATTCAATTTTTACACTGTTCATATTATTTTATTTAAATTTCACAAAACTTCATTCAAAATATAACCAACGACAACAACGAAAACTTTCTAAAAGAAAAGGTAACCTAAGAAACGCAACAAAAAAATAACAACTTTAAATTTGAACAAGTAAAAACGTTTCAGTCGGTATGAACCGATTGAATTATACCCTGCACCTTTCATTGTTGTATAGCAATTACTCAAACCTGTGAAACCATTCTATAGAAACTTCACGGATATGTCTGATCTATAACTGAACACACAACTGCCAAGTTTCGTGAATCTGACTTTATTATTTTTCTAAATATTTAAAATTAGCTTTTGGAGTTGTATGGCAGGTACCCGAACCTGCCAAGCAATTCCACTACAGCTTCGCTAATATATCTGATCTATAATTGGACACACAACTGCCAAGTTTCATGAATCTAACTTTATTACTTTTCCAAATATTTAAAATAAGCTTTTGGACTTGTATGGGAGCCACTCGAACCTGTCAAGCAATTCCACCAAAACTTCAGAAATATCTTTGATCTATAATTGGACACACAACTGCCAAGTTTCATGAATCTGTCTTTATTATTTTTCCAAATATTTAAAATTAGCTTTTGGAGTTGTATGGCAGGTACCCGAACCTGCCAAGCAATTCCACTAAAACTTCGCAAATATATCTGATCTATAATTGGACACACAACTGCCAAGTTTCATGAATCTAACTTTTTTATTTTTTCAAATATTTAAAGTAAGCTTTTGGACTTGTATGGGAGCTACTCGAACCTGTCAAGCAATTCCACCAAAACTTCAGAAATGTCTTTGACCTATAATTGGACACACAACTGCCAAGTTTCATGAATCTGACTTTATTATTTTTCCATATATTTAAAATAAGCTTTTGGACTTGTATGGGAGCCACTCGAACCAGTCAAGCAATTCCACCAAAACTTCAGAAATATCTTTGACCTATAATTGGACACACGACTGCCAAGTTTCATGAATCTAACTTTATTAATTTGGCGAATATAAAAAATTTGCTTTTAGAGTTGTATGGCAGCCACCCGAACCGGTGCAGCTATCTCATTAAAATTTTTAGAGTATATGTAGAATATAATTGGACACATGTATACAAAATTTTATATTTGTACCTTTATTAGTTTTTGAAATAATTAAAATAAACTCTTTGAGTTGTATGGCAGCTACCCGAACCCGTTGTCCGAATTGGTCCAATAACAATAGGGTTCGTCCTTGGCACAAAAGAAGCAACTTGTGAAAGTTTGGTGTCGATTGTATTATTCGTTTTTGAGTTATCGTGCGATCGGACGGACGGATGGACGGACGGACGGACGGACGGACGGACGGACGGACGGACGGACATGTCTAAATCAACGCAGAATTTTACGCTGAGCAAGAATATATATATATGTCCATACCGCAGATGACTCCTTCAAGTAGTTACAAACTCCATACCAAAGTTAATATACCCTTCACGAAGTGCAGGGTATAAAAAGAGTACTATTAGCGCCACTCTTTATTGTAAGAAGAACTAAAATCATGAAAATGTCAGATTTCAGCGATTTGTTCTAAGTTAGCTATCTAAGGATATCTGTCATTTATGGTTTAAGTATTATTGTATTATTGTTATTTAAATATGTAATATTTAAATATGTTGTATAAATGCATATGTACTTATATATAAGTTTTAGTTTTAAGCTATTTTATATTATGTTTGAGTTAAAAATTAAATAAATAAATAAATAAGGCCAACCTGCAAAGTACGTAAAATTATCATTGTTTAGGACTCCAATATATGCCCAACGTTTTGAGGTTTTCGCTGCTTTCATCAGTCAATGGTAACATAATTGCTGTCGAGGGCGAAGTTTCGGCACGTGTAATTAATTACTTTCCATTATTGACCTATCGAAGCGCTTTTGATTCCGAATGTGACAGTCAAAAGCCGCTAGTCTTGAATGTGTTGCTGTTGATTATCTCGCCATTCTTTGTAAATTCATTTGTGACGATTCCACCCGAATTTTTCTCCACATTTTTTCTATGTCGCCACTGAATGTGATCTTGTATTTTCTCCATCTCAATAGTATGGCTGTTAGCTCATCTTGAAATATTGGATATTAGCAATATTTCACTTTGTGTAGCGCGTGACGCATCGAAAACCACCCGTGGTTGGGTCATATTTCCCGAGTTATAAATAAAAATGTGAAAATTAGACGGTTTTTGCATGTTCCAACTATGAGGCCCCATAACCCCAAGAACAAGAGTTGAAAAACGAAAATGTCACCAGGCGTTCTTTGTACGTCTGAATGCATACCATCACCTCCTTCGGGAATACCTTTGAGTCGCGGAGACCCTGTATGAGCTTGTTTCAGTATTAAATTTTTCGATTTTCCATAACGCCTGTTCACTTAGATGACTGTAAACATGATAGTTACGTATTCATCGCAACGTTGTCTTTGCGACATTTTTTAAAACTTTGAGCGACAGGAGAATCAGTTTCTCCCTTCATTAAACCTTCTAAAATTATTTGGCGATAGATATTTACCCCACGTAATTAGTGAAAATAAGAATCAGCCAATTGTAGGTCGCGATATTTCTGCTGACTGCTGTTTTTGACTGAATTGTAGGGTCGTTGTGTAAATTTGAATCATTATTAGATTGACGATTCAGTAATGAGTGATTCTGACGCTTACATTGTTGCCATGTATGTTATGCTGGGACAGTTACTTCATAGATGACCGCTACCCAAACAATTGATATACAAAACTTTACCTTTAACTACTTCAAACCTTTTCATTGGATTTAAGGCCAAAAATTGTTCATATTTTCTGATCATATGCTGTCCAGCACAAAACTTGTTAAATTTAGGACTCGATTTCGAATCCCGAGGTAATCTTCTGTCATTAATTGCTTCCAGTGTTCCAAATCTTATCTCTAAATATTCTTTATGAGCTACATGCTTTTCATTTACAAGAAAAGCTCCGAGTTCTGGATTGGCATTAGATATTGGAACAAAAGGAGGATTTTGAGAGTTTAAATATTGTTGTTGCACAATTGAATTGCAACAACATACTTAAACCCAACGTGGCCCATGCGTCTCCCAACGTGGTACATCTCTTGTTTTACTGTTTCGTTGCTTCCAGAGCTGATGACTACATCGTGGAAATTTTTGAATAAGCAAGAAAACGATTATTGGATCCCAATTGGTAATGTCGACATCAAGGTTTTTTAGCGCTTGTAAGCATTCCGAGGTTGTATCAAGAAGTCCCTTAACTGCTTGAGCCGACTTACTGTTTATGTGGTTTGAGAATATAAAACCTTTAGTTGTGTATTAGTGCTCCCAGAAATCCTATCATGTTCAATCAATCACTGAATAATCATGCGAAATTTTTTTTTTGGTTATTTACGATTAAAAACGCAAAAATGTTTTTCTATTAGTTCTTATGGGAATTGCTTGCAATCATTTCTTAAGATGAAACAAAGTAATGTGATTAATCAGCGAAATGTGATTAATCAAGCTTATAGTAAATGTTAGAAATTTTAGAAATTGAGTTGTAATTTTAGTTGTTAAGTTGTTCTTCCTAAAAAGCATGTATTATTTTCGTTTTTAAGTTTTTTTTACAATCTAGTATGTTTCATAGTATGTTTAAATATAATTTTAGCTACATAAAAAAGGTAGAGAACGTCTTAAAAATGGAATGTATAGACTTTTTTTTACATCATTTTGTTAATTTATTTTATGAAATGAAATTATATTCAACGAAAATTTGAGAGTTTTTTCCAATTTATTTTTTTCTACTACATAAAATTTTCTTTATTTCCATAATTTCCACTTTTTAACAGTTTGTCTATTAAAAAATATATACATGCATTACATACTTCAAATTACATAAATACAAATTCATGTACATACTTCCTTTATTGTATGAAACACGGTTGGCAAAAGCAAAAACAAATATGATCAAACATCATCAATGATTGCAATACTCGTATTATTCAACCATTTCAATCAAAAGCTTTGACCAAACACGATTGTTTATGATTGTATGATTATATTATTTTAATTGAAAAAGTCAAACAATTCAAACAACTTTATGATTAATCGTGTTCGATCATCATTACTTGGAGCTGCATTGTGTATTTACCAAGAATCATTTCTACCGACCGTATTGTTTATACAATAGGTAGGTTGTGTGATGGCAACAAATTTTGCATATCAAGTTTTCGGTGGAAATGCACTTCTCCATGGCAGGGAAGTGTAAATAAACTATTTTTAGCAACCTGTCGGTCTGTCGGTCTGTGTGTGGACGTGTTTGTCTTAAGTTCGGCTGAACCGATTTTGATGAAATTTTATATGTAAGTTTATTTCGACCATGACATGGATTGATCAACTTTTGGGATATATCAGGCATCGGGAACTGTAATTTTTAGCGAGCCTGCTTTACTTTTTTGACCATTTTGAAGAAAATATTCAACCGATTTAGTTGAAATTTCATATATAAGCTTTTCTCGATCGACCGCGAAACCTCCTAACTTTTGGAAGAAATCAGGTGTCAGCAACTGGACGTTTACTACGGGCCAAATATACATTTTTGCGTATATAAAGATACATATATCAACCGATTTCATTGAAACTTAATATTTAAATTCTTCGTACTGGAGCAATGAACATATAAAGGTTTTGGAAAGAACAGGGTTAGATCAGAAAGCTGATCTGCGGTCCGATTTTACATTTTTCACCATATCTACGGAAAGAATGGATGGAATTTCTTGAAATTTGGTTTTTGAGTTCTAGTTATTATTGAAACTAACTAGCGACTATTGCAGGGAATTCGGGTAGCACAAAGCGAAACTCTACTGTGAGCCAAATTTACATTTTTCTAGGTATGCTAAGAAAGCTTACTAATGTCCTAAAAATTGGAAAGAAGTATTTAACAGGCATTTTTATAATATTCTGTAACGTTTTCACTTTACTAGACAATATTCATTGCGGTCGGTTATGTGCTGATCACATCAGATTTTTTATTATACCTCTTTTCTAACAGAGACCACGCGGTGATATAATTGTGTTCGGTGACTTGAAAATGACGAAGTACAAATATGCCTCGATATACATGTATAATTTTTGAGACCGAAATTTTCCTTTTTTACACAAATTTTTAGGTTAAGAAATAAATATTCAATTTGAAATATCAATACTAAATAAATATATATGCATTGTGTGCCATTGTGCATAAATACGTACATGTCATGTATTGGGGTGTGTTTGTAAACTTTATCAAGGAAATCGTTTTTAAATTTGAAACATTTAAAAGAATAACGTGTGCATAAAAAATTTTTTTTTTCGTTTTAAAAAACGTATATAAAACAAGGGAAAAATTTATATAAAAAGAAAAGTGGTATTTAAATTTTTTTCATATAATCGAAGTTATTTATATCGGGAGAAAGTATATCAAGGGAAACCTGTAATTCTTCCGCCTCTCCACTTAGGTGCATCTTTAAATGCTGCAATTTTTGCACAAATCACAAAAAATAGTTCACTTCTTGTAGTCTCTAGTAACGCCTCCATTTATTTTGGTTATAGTGTTTTCACAGGTTTTATTTTTAAAATGTTGTTGTATCGATTCATATGTCGTAAAAAATTATGTTTCTGTTTCTCGATATGCATCCTTTAGAAAACATTAAGACGTTACTTCGTTAAATTTTTTGTCAGAAATCTTAGCAATCAGTAACTTTTTATATCCTTGTTTAAATTCGTGTCACAACTTTTGAAAAATTTCATGTTTTATTTTGTAATGACAATCATCCTTATAGTTAATAACAAATATTAAGATCATATCAGCCTGGCCCATTTGATTATCAATTATTTCCATGTTAATAGGAAATATTTTAATATAGGAAATAATTTGTGTTGCAAATTCTTTAAATGATATTCAGCCCAACGTATGAACTTATAATTTAGCCTGGTATTTTTAGATAATTAATTGTTGCAGTTGTTTATGTGTTCCAAATTTCATATGTTTCATTTATTTTCACGATAATACGTTATGTTTTCCATATTTGCATAATCATGAAATATTTTAATTGTTAATTCGATTATGCCGTTATTATTTTGAATTATACCGTTGAACACGTACACGGTTTTCATTAATTCAATATTTTCTACATATTTTTAATTATTAATTCAATATATTCTACATATTATGATGCAACTGTTAAATTATTTTTGTTCATCATAATTATTTGTAATCGAACTTTTTTATGTGAATTGAATATGTCGAATTAATTATTCATTTTTTCGCAATATTCGGCAGTTGCTTTTACGTATTCGGTTATAGAGCTTGAAAATTTTTCCAATAGGTTCGTTGTGCGTATGGCTGCTGAGATCGAATTTGTGTTGCATATGTTATTCGCATTATAGGAAACGTATTCGGTTAAATATGGTTAACTGTAAGTTAAGATAACATTCTAGTTACACATGTACCTTGTTCTCGGCGATGTATTTTATATAAATACTCTATTACAGACCAGCCTGTTATCACGAATGAGGTTTTAAACTTTTTATCCATAAGAATATTTCTGCTCAACTTAATTAAATAGCATATGCAGGAACAGCAATAAATTTTTTTATTGCTTTTCAAAAAATATGAAATGTTCCTATTTATCTTTAAATGTCTGAATAAATAACGGTTATATCATCCTTAATCGTTTAAAATTGCTTTGATTATAGTTCCAGCCTCTTGGCATTTATCAATTTTAAACAAAATTTATCAATGGAAAAAACAATATTTTCTAATTTTTACCATGTATTGATGATTCTGAGACTACGTGC